ATTTATTTTGAAAAACTCACAAATTCTGCTCTCGTTTGAGGATTTTTGATTCACACCTACAAGCACTAAAAAGTTTTGAGAAACTTCTCCACTCTTTTTCACTCATTTCCACAAATACATTTACAAAAATAAAAAATAAAAACAACAAAGAAAGAACAGATCTATAATATCCTGCTGGAAAATGCAGAAGTTTCTCATTCAAGTTCGAGTCTCGTGTCAAGTTCAAGTGTGAGAAGTCCAAGTTCAAGTTTGGCCTGTTGTCACTTTAAGCACCAGTTTCTCTGCAGTAACACACACGGACTATTTTAACAACAAACGTACAAAACAGATTTAGATTAGCTGAATAAATACGGCAAAAAACACATTTGAACACTCTGAATAAACAGCTCAAAAGCAATGTTTCATTAGAGCACACACACACACACACACACACACACACACACACACACACACACACACACACACACACACACGCACACACACACTTTGAAAAAGGCATAAGCAGACATGAATATGCAAAAATACACTCAGCAATATATATAACGCCAAAAATAAAGTGTCTTTTTTTTGTTTTGTTTAAATGAGTACGATTAAGGACATGTTTTGCATATGTGTGTGTGTGTATGTGTGTGTGTGTCTTGTAGGTGTTCTTTCAGCTAAAACTGTTAGCTTCACTAAAGCTAAACTCCATCTGAGCACCAGGAGCCCCTCACTGAAGGCTGAAGCGGTCCTTTTAGTCTGCTCAGGTAGACTTGATCACAGGGAGAGAAAATCATGCAACCCCTCAGCAGCCGGCCATCTGCCTCTCTACATGCAACCCTCCCCTGGACTCCTGCCACCCACTGCCAACAAGGCCTGAGGGGTGGAGCACTTTGAGACTCTGCCATCTCAAACCATGTGTCCACTGCTGGTTAGGCACAGCTTATATTCAAATGAATGAACATAATCACTTGTGTATGGAAAAGATCAATGTGGATTCTGGAGCACCTGGGAGTATGAGGCTGACTCTGACCTGAGGAAAACACTCCCTCCCTACAGAACGAGCCCTGAAAGCAAAGCAGCTCAACACTTGAGCAGATATCAAAAAAAGCCCCAACCACAAAAAGACCAGAGAGAAGAAGATAAGTGTTGAATGATCGATATTTTCAGAATAAAATCTGCGAAAAATTATGTTATCTTACAGCATCGTCTAAGAGGCAAAAACGTATTATTTAAAGATGTGGTGACTGTAAATTAACACATAAATATCAAAGCTGTTTACAACCTTTTTTTTCCACTATTGTATGAAGTAAACAGCAAAATAACAAACTCATTACCAACATCTATTAAAAAACATTTCTATCTTGACTGTGTTTGTGCTTTTTTTTAAAACTACTTCAGTTTCTGTCAAGTTTGGTCCGTCCTTGAACAAAAACAGCTCACGATTATTATCATTAAACAGCATATCGAGACGCCTTTCTGTGCACATAAATTTGACTTTGCAAAACATGAGTCATATCGATTTGGAGTGCGCTGAGAAAAAATGTGTGAATATAGAAAATAATAAGAGTAAATGAGAGCGACATAAAAATAAAATGTATACGGGTGAATCCTCGCAAAAGCGTGTTAATGGAGAGTTTCGCATTAGTTTTCGGCAATGTCTTTGAAATAGAAATAATGTCTTAGCGAAACATGAAGTACGAAACTTTCAGTTTAAAGAAAGTGGCATATTTTGATAGAAATGCTGTCCAAAGACAAGCCTTCGAAAACATTAAACGGATAAAAAACGCTCAGTACACCACGTACTTCTCTGCATACAGTACACAGTAAGCCAGGACCACATCACTCATATGAAATACCTCCACAATCGTGGCCTACCACTCATCCTCTGATTACCACCATGCAGGATTATCCTGGCTGCAATCAAACTGCTGTTAATAACTTTTGCTTCTGCATTATCAAATTAAAAACAGGTTTAAAAATAGAAGAGTTTCAGCAAAGCTCGAAGTTACACACGAATCGCTCGATCACCTTTCTATGTGCTATGTTCCTGAACCATTTGCGCATGTACAGTTTTATATTTGGATGTTTTAATGCGCAGGCTGAGTAAAAAACTTTAGGTGAGGACCCCGAGTGGATCCGATTTTTAATCGTACATGTATCGAAAGCGGAAAATTCAGCCGCACGGATAAACTTTCATCAAAATCACGCACACACAAACATAATAACAGATTTTACTCACCGAATTCGGAGTAAAGATGGTAAATGTTCGGCCAGAGGGCGAAATTCGCTGTTTCTTCCTGCTTTGATCCACATCACTGCTAAAGAGGAGAAGGAAGCCACAAGCCCCTGTTCGGGGTTTCATGTACGACCCAGTGATTCCTCTCCACAGCTGCACCTCGGCCTCAGTCCCGGCTCCAGCTTCAGTCCCAGCCTCAATCTCAGCTCCAGACTCTCTCTCTCACACTCTCTCTCTTTTCTCTCTCTCTCCCTCTCTCTCTCTCTCTCTCCTCCAACCCCAGCCAGTCTGAGCTCTGAGCTCAGAGCCGCACGGCTCGCCTGCCACCGGCTGCGTCCAGGTCTGCTGAGGCCTGAAACAATGGGAGGCCATGAGGCTGTCTGCAGAGCTCCAGCTCAGCCAGTCAGCTAGTTAACAAGTCTCTCAACCAGGAATGTTAGCAAACAGACAAATAGCATGACTGTTGCATGCAAATAGCACAACTAGACCAGTCACAGCCTCAGCCGGGCACATGAATAATTCAGCAGTCTATATATGCTGCTCTTACACATTACTCCTACAGAATGAAATGCCTTCACTGGAGTAAGAGTGTGGCAAAGTCTTCAAACCTCCGCTTCATCTCCAGCCTAAGTCTCAAATATAAGGTTTTATACTTCCTCTAAACCAGAAATAATCACACAAAGTGACCGCGAAGAGACTCAACATGCAAGACTACAGCGGACACTCTGTCAAAACTGTCGGAAAAATCCAAAACCACTCATTTTTCTCCCTCTTATCGCTTTTTAATGTCTTGTTTGCAGTTAGCACCTGTCCCAGAAAGAGCTCCGGATCAGCACACACCACTCGGTCCCCTGTTAGGAGAGCCAGTCGGTGTGTAAGAGAGAGAACAAGAGAGAGCGAGAGAGACCCAGAAAGAGAGAGAGAGAGGGAGGACATGGAGAGGAAATAATAGGAGAGACAGGGAGTGAGGACGAAGGAGGTGCTGTACTTCACGCCAGGCGCTGGCGCTGAAGAAGGACATATCTTAAAAACACAGATGTGTAAAGCGCTCAGACACTGGACATGTTCTCTGCTTGTCATCCATAGCGGTCAGCCGGACCACGAGCCCACCACAACCAGGTTTCCCAGTAGAAATGGCGCCCCGGCGCTCCAGGTGGAACAAGGCCCATCACATGGCGAAACAGCACTTTGACGAATTTCCATCCAAAAAACAGCGAGAAACAAAATAAATACTGCTACAACCCATCAGCGGAGGAAAATCAAAAGATGCAGTTTAGTTTGAAAAATCAAAAATAAAAAGGAATAAGGGGACGAGCGGCAAAATCCAAAGGGATGCAAAAACGTATGCGCCAAAAGTGAGAAAAGGCCCCTAAAAGCAACTTGTTGCCAGGTTTTGCAGAGCTGCTGTGCAGCTAGTTGGAGGCAGAGGGTTAAAATCCAGCTAGTAGTGAGTGAAAAAAAAGCTCCGTCTATGGAAGGGCGGGCTGTGGGGAGGCCCTGACTGTAGAAATAGCAGCAGACTTTTTTTCTTTTTTTTCCCCTCGCAGAGCTTAAGTCTCCCCCTTGCGTGTGGCTGGAGCAGAAAGAGGGGAGCAAGCGAAACAGGGAGAGAAAAAGAAGTGAGAGAGAGAGTGAGAGAGGGAGAGAGAGAGAGAGAGAGAGAGGGGAAGAGAGGAGGAGACAGCGAGCGCACAGTGAAGAGGAGAAATGCTCCGCTGATGATGAAATAGGAGGTGCGGCGGAGCGCGCGAACCAGTCACTTTTTCATCACATGTCCAACACGGCAAGGAACTGTATTTGCACTGGAGACCGAGTGGGGGGGGAGAAGGAGGGAGGGAGGGAGGGAGCACAAGATGGGTGGGAGACAGAGACACAGAAGGAAAGAGAGAAGGAGAGAGAGCGAGCGAGAGTGGGAGGGTGGAAAGCTCTAAATGTGGGAGGGGTGGAGGAGGACACAGAAATCCACTCCTCGGGTAGTAGTGCGCAGACGCAGTGCACACACTCACACGCCATACTGGGATACGCTCCCCGCTACCTCAACTACTATATCAACTAGTGCAAAGAAAAGTGAGGAAAAGGAGAATACCGAGTCCTTCAGAGTGGACTTTCCCTGCTGCTGCAGGATCCTTGAAATATGCAACACCTCTGAGAGCCGGTTGAATTATTAACCTCGTCTCTTACCGTAGCCGGGCTCTTGTCGCTGCAACAGTCTTGGGAGCACGCTCTGAAAGGAACACACACTCTCGGAGTGCATTAACTCTTTAGCATGCCACAGTGACTAGCGTGAATGCACAGAATGGACGGGTTGCACACTCACACACACAGGAAAAAGATAAGCGTCCACACAGTGTTTATTTCAGTAACATGTGGCAAAAGAACGCGCAGTTTAGGACCCTCCTCCTCCTCCTCTTCTTTCTCGCCCCGGCTCTGTCACAAAGCGGAGCTGAATGCTGCAGCTGAAACCTCGCAGCTATTTTGGCACAAAGTCAAAAGGCTGATAAGCATTTCTGGGTGAGACTTTGCTGCTTTTCCTAGAGGAAAAACAGCTGCCACTGCCGGGGAGAGCACACTCAGAGAACATTTCGGAGAAAAACCCACGACACGCAGATATGTGTCCCGCTTAAAGAGCGAGTCGACTGACACGAGCAGTAAGAGAGTTAACCAGAATGGCTGTTTCCACCATCTTAGATTGTATTGATTATTCTTTGCTGCTGTAACGTCTGTCTCCCTCACACACACACACACACACACACACACACACACGCTGGCTCTCTTTCTCTCCCTTTCTGTCCCTCCCTCCCCTCTTTCTGCCTCTATTCTGCCACCTTCTCCACTCGCAGATCAGCATTTGGCTTTTTCCATTTGTGGCAGATTACTGTAACGCTATTGTACAACAACTTCCTGCCTCTTTTGGCTCTGCTTCTTTAAAAAAAAACTGCAAAGGCAGAGCATCGTGACTTCAACTTTTTCCTTCCTCGGCCTTGAACCGAAGGAGCTCTATAAGGAAAGAAAAGGAAGGAAGGGGATATGTAAAGTGTGTTTTCTGTAACTGAGGAACTATTTGAGGGCATTTTCTGCTTTATAAGGCTTTAAAGAGGGGGACTCCATGCCTAGCAGAGACAATGAGAGAAAAAAGGTGGGGGTCAAACTTTTCTTACTTTTACTCTGTGAAAACTTTCTGCTGCTTTTTGGAGGGCACTGCGTTCGTAGTGTCTAACATGGCTGCTGCTGCTGCTGCTGCTTCAATCTTCAGTCTGTGAGGGCTGCTTTCATAGCACGGCCACCACCCCGCTCCTTTGCCGGCTCTCTTTCTCGCTCAAGCAGCACACAGCACACGGTGGATTCTCCACACAAACTATTCTCTCTCCTCTGCACTTCTCCTTGCTCCACAGGTTTCATTAAAAACACAGGTGGCAGTCTCTGTGCAGGGGGAAAAATACGAGCATTATTTATATAACCAACTCTGTGTGGAAAGAAAAAAAAAAAAAAAAGAAAAAGAAAAAGAGGCTGCACTGCAATTTATTTTTTCTCGGTTCGAGATCCGAGCCCGGTTCAGGCGTCTACATTGGCAGCAGCTATAGAATCCTATTAGAAGGAGTGCAGCTGTACGTCACATCTCGCCATGCGTTTTAACCAATTGAGAAACTCATGACTTCATTATGGTGTCAATGTATAAAGCTGAGGTGTGTGTGTATACGTCCGGAGATCTTATTTGGGGATGGTTTAGAGTTCTTCAGCAGGATATACTGGAGGTGAAAACACTGAAATGAGCTGTTTTCGAAGGAACAGGCAGGAACTTCGGATGCTTTGTGTGCCAACTTTTGTTTCGTAAAAAGTTCACTTGAGGTTAAAGCTTTGGTCTTCGGTTAACCACTGAGCTCCTCCGCAGTTTTTTACTCTGTTCTGTCTCCTTGAACTCTGTGATAATCCTTTTATTTTTTCTGTAATACGACGAGATTAAAACACCTCACACAGTCGTGTTTGAACGAGAAAGAGCTGTTTGAGAGAGGCGCATCTTTAAGGTGTAAACCGCTCAATTTTGGCTTTTCTTCTGGTTTATTTTTGATGGAATTGTCGAATAAAATACGTTTTAAAGACTCGACTTTGACACAAAAATGTGACTGGTCCTCATTATGCTGAAGATGATAAGCAAGGGAAACACGAGTTATACTATCTGCAGATGAAGAGTGCAGCATCTGTGTGTTACTGAACCGGTTAATCGGGCCTATTGATAATACGAGGTGAAACAAAATGGCAGACGGCGCCATGTTATGGACTCACACCAAGGTGATTTGTCTTAAATTTTTGGAATAGAAAACCCTCTTTTTTTAACATCACTGAAGATTTGGCCGATTATTGTTGAACCTCTTTTAATTTGCAGATGTAAGATATCAGCAGATGGAGATTTATGCTCGAAAATAGTGAGAAATTCGACGTTAAATAAAGACGACATTGTTGCATGAGTGTAAATCCAAACTCATGTATGACCGTTAAGATTTATAACCATAAAATAGGAACATGTAAATCAGGGCCTGCAGTGAGTGAGCCTGCAGTCTCTCACTGATTTGTGCGAGTGCTGAGGTCTGCTGCAGTCAGGCACACACCAAACACACACATCCAAGTGTCAGTCACAGGCAAACACTGAGTATTAGTCAGACTGGTTCAGATAAGGGGACTTCACAAGGACACATTATGCATACATCGCCTTTGTATGGTTTCTCTCTCTCTAACCACAGGAAACAGTGAGGAGAGCTGCAGGGGTATAAAGTTGCATCGGGCAGAGGATCTGCAAAAGACAAACAACATTTGCACTTGCATTTGCAAACATCAAGGAGTTTGTGTGCGGAGGTTTGGGGGTGGGGATGGGGGGTCTGCATGTGCTTGGTCAGCAACCAGCACTACATCAACATGTTGGGAATGATATAGGGCGCATAAAAACATATATATGTATTCTAATGGACTCATTCAGGGGGATCAAATCTAACCACAAGGAGAAGGAGGAAGGTTGTAGACTCTCCAGGAGAAGGAGCCGACTCTATGAGGTGGTCTTGCTTAAGCCGCGCACGTGTCTAAACAACTTCTCTATTACACCCGAGACCTTTGAGGGCACTCCCCATCGAGCGGGGAACAAAGGCCATGACCCCTGGGTCAAAAGCGTTACACGGTAGGCCAAGCGGGCCCATTGACTGCTCCGCTGCTGTTTGCTTTAAGAAGGTAAAGATTACCAACACATTAACTAACACCGATTAGGGGGTTATCCCTCGTGGGACTGAGGTCCCAGGGCAGCACATCACATCTTATTAACACAAGCTGACCTTTGACCCCAGCAGTCACCTCAGGCAGCCGACTGTGACCACCACTTTCTGCGCTCTGTTTGACACACACACGGACGGAGACGGGAGGTATCAGAGCAAGGTGCAAACCCGGCTGGAAAGAGAAATTAGAGCCAGAAGAGAAAAAAAAAATGAAATTAAAGCAGTGTTATCAGAGCTCAGTCCTGAAGTGGTAATTCAGCTTCTCTGAAAAATCAGGATGTCTGACTTGAGAAATCAGCAAATGAGTAATTTCTCAGAGAATTATCATTTCCTAATTAAACACATTTGATTAAAATAAATTGTTTTTTCGGCCTCTGACTCGAGAACACGTGTTCTGCTGCAGTTCGTGAAATGGGAGCGTGTGCAATTAAATTCCCATCACAAAATGGTGGACGCCGGACATGCGCAGTGATGGTGTTCGAGAAGACCATCGAATGATGACGAGCAGGAAAGAGGACGATTTCTTTGTCGACTCTTTCAGCTCGGCTCTTCAATGATCAGTTTCTCACAGGCAGAGAAGTCAAACTTGATGTGGTGCTGAGCACACTCCACCCCAGACATCCTGAAAAAAGACAGCCAAGCAACAGCTGACAGACCAGACTCACAAACTCTGATCTCACCGTCAGATCACTCGTAACCGTCTCTCCAAAATAAAACGAGCGGATTAACACAATTATATTATAATTTGAATCAGAGGAGAATCAGGGATTTGATTCCTGGAGTGTTTTCTTACAGGTCACTTTGTGTGAGGCAGAGAAAAAAAATCGTTTCTGTTTGTCAAAGTTCTTTTTCCTCATGTTAAAAATATTTAGGAGACATTTAACGAGTTCATGCAAATTACATGAATTTTAGAAAAGGTGAAATCTTTTTAAATTTGCATTCGGATGAAAATCAAAGAAAGAAAGCTGCTTTTTCACTCCTAAAAAAAGAAGATGGGAAAAATAAAAGTTAACGAAGGTTCGTCATTAAGAAAAATTCAACAGAGTGAATTTTTGAGTTTGGTTCATCGTTACAAAATATCCCACAAATTTCTGGTATTTTTGTTCTGCTTTCAAGGGAGGCGTAAAATACTGTCAATAGTCCGAAATCAAGGCACATGTTTGGATTTTGTTCGATGAATGTTTAATTATATAGAATTTGTTTCATCTCGTTTTTAAATGTGTTTTTTATCATGTTTTTTAATTTAGTTTTGACAGAAAAGAGGAGCACGCTGGGGCACATAAGTGTACACACACACAGACACACACACACACACACACTCACACACACACACACACACACTGAAGTTTGAATCTAATAAAGCTTCACTTTAGCAGGAAAACTTTGTAACTTATTAAGAAGTGTGGAAATTATTTAGTCCTCACAGGCAGCTTATTACGCCAAAATGACTTATTGAAACTTTAATGTTTTATTAACTCTGCAAAACAAATTCAGCAACAGCAATTTGAAGAGTTTTCGAATTTTATCAGTCAATTAAATTTGATTATAATTTCTAACAACTTCATACGCAGTCAGATTTTTGTTTTAATCGGTACAGTTTGAAAAGTTGAATAGAAATTCAATAACTACGGCTTTTTTTAAAACTTAGAGGAATTCCCCGGTTGATGACTTTTGCACACTTCAAATCTTGAAATATTAAGTTTTTATCTATTTTTTTTTACTCGATTTGCATTTATTTTAAAAAAAATCCTTAATATCAGGATAAACCACCGCAATCTAAAGTGTGAAATATAGATTTTTTTTTAAAGCTGTCAAATGCCCTTCGTAAGTTTTTGATTTGTTGCCTTCATTATTTACAGATCAGAAACAAATCAGAGGAAAAGTCACACTTGGAGCTGTGTTTTTGATGATTTTATAGACGTGTTCGAATTAAAAACACACTCTCAGCAAAGTCCCTGACACTGCATCATCTGATCTTGAGAAAACAGACGTCAAAATACTTGATTTCAGCAGAAAGTGACTCACCTCTCTGTTTCTCAGGCAGGGATCTCAAAGAAGACGAGGAGGAAGAGAGCAGAGGAGAGTTCCTCCTGGGATCAGACTGGAAATTATGGACCTATTCGATATCAGAGCTCCGAGTAGACAACCTATCCAAAGAGGGACGCGCCCTAACTGTAACTAACAACTACTTCTGGCAGCCCTTCAACAGCCAAACATATTGTGCTGGAGCAGAGCAGCTTTCATATGGCAGCATTGAACTAGAGCAGCAAAATTCACATCAAACTAAAGGATAATTATATATTCGTAAAAAAATAAAATAAAAGACATGCATTAAAATATTGAAATTATTTTTTTATGGCAGGAAGAGCGAGCTGTAACTTGATTCTGCAGATAAAACTTGAACATGCTAAGGCCAAGCAGATTTACCAACTTTAAATCATTCTGAGTGCTGCAGCTTTATTTTAAATTATTTAATATTCATGTTTTCATTCTGTTTTCAATTCTGTAATTATTGTTAACTTAAGTTCGACCCTGTTTTTCTTTACTTTCAATGTTTTGAAATCTTGTTTTCTATAAAGGTAAAACTGTATATTAACATAAACACGGCACAAAGTGTTGGACGTTGTTGAAATTTTAACGTACAATAATCTATATCGCTCAAAGGCTATTCTAGGAGTCATTATCTGTCATTTTAATGTTTTTTTTAGTCGATACAAGAAATGTTTGTTTTAGTAACATCAGTGACATGTCTTAACTGATATAAAATTCACTGAAAAATACGAAAACAAACGCACCACGTAAAGAGAATAAAAAAAGTTCCTGAAGTTCCTGAGCAAATTCTCAAAAGTCAACGATGCATCATAATGAAAAGAGTAAATACTGCCTCTGTGTCCACCTGACTGGCCTGCACCAGCTTCTACATACCTGAACTCTGCCTCTGCAGTTTTACCTCCACCCCCAGCTCTTCTCCCTGTTTTGTTTTATTCTTCCTCCGCACTAAGTCAGGAGTGCGCAGGCCTGGCATTTTAGGGGCCACGTCACATTGCTTGTGTCTGCGCTGCAGGGCTGCAAGGTGTCCAACAGCCATGCAATACACACCCTACGTCTCGCTGCTTCTGCAAACACTAAGCATGTGCTGTTTTCGAACCCTCACGTATATTCTTTTGTAAAAATATCTCTGCTGTATTGAGACAGGCAAAAAACACGCAGCTAATATCCACTTCATAAACACGCAGTCCTCTCCTGAGGGTGCACTTCACCCACATGCAGCCTCTGAGCCTTTAGCCTGAGATCGCCTCTCATTTCATGCAGCTTTTTCTCCTCTGATTGACTCGTTGAAGATAAAAAAAAAATCAAAACCTGCAGTTCTGAAATTCATTAAAAAATTACACGAATTAAATCACTTAATCATCCTAAACTTGGACTGTAACTGATGGTCATGATACTTTTAACAATGTTGGAGAAAAGCCACATTTCATTGGACAGCTGTGCAAACACTCGTTTTATTACTTCGTGGGCTTTTTCTCCTTTTTAGTGTTTTTTTGAATCCCACCCAAATATTAGACATGTCTAATATTTTAAGACAAACTAATTTGCACAATGCACAATTTGTTTTAGCATATTTGTCACTTTTTGTAGCTCATATTTACTCATATTTCAGGCTAAAAATGACATACAAGCCTTTTTGTACAATACACAGATGTTATTTTCTGCTTTAAAAAAAAATAAAAGTACCTGACTGCTTTCCTTTTAGCTGTCTGATCATTTCTTATCTTTTAAGTGAAGTTTAAGTGAAGTTTTTAAGTGCTACGTTTGCATGAATCAGACAAGAAAGTGGTGAAATGCATGCTCACCTGAGGACCTGCAGTCTTATGCAAAAAAAAGAAATAATCTAAATAAAAAAAGTAAAACTGTACTCTAAAACTTAAGCTCTCGTCTTCTTTTCTAATACCACTGTGCAACAAGGTGTCTTTTGCCAGGTTCGGTAATTTAAACTGCATTTAATGTAATATTGATATTTAATGTTCCTTGTTGTGCTTGTTTCTAATATTTATAACACAAATGCTGTTTTTTTGGTGCTAAAATTGCAGCTTCCTGCAGTTGGAGTCCCTGTGTGTAAATGTTTTGCACTCTTTATGGTAAACTGTGCCGACTAGATGATGTGTAACAGTTTTTCGGTTTGCCATCATCATTATCGTCATCGCCATCAGGCTAAAGGTGTGAACAGCCTGCAGGAAGCTGAGATATGACGACCCCTGACCTCTCGCACAGGCTCACAGAGACAGTGGGGGGGGTCAGGCAGAGGACATGGCTGTGCGGAGAAGTCGATCTTCTCCCTCCGCTTAGCCACAGGCCCGTGTGCAGCGACAGCAAGATGAGCAGAAGGGCTTTCCAAAATCCACACTCGTTTGGCTGCGAGCAAGGCATCAGGGCCGTGTGTGTTTCAAAGGAAATGCTGAGGAGAGCATTTTTCGTGGCAGCACCCATGCACTTGACGGTGTGTGTTAGCCTGCTTCTGTGTCTTAACTGCGTCCCCACCCTAAGTCAATATCCCCCCCGCACCAATATCTGTCATGTTTTGTAGCCAAAATGGCACGCAGCCCATTTGTCGGAGAATTCTGCCTCGTCTCATCTTGATATGGTTCTCACGTGTGCGGTCAATTTTTCGTCATTATCTCCGCACATTAGAAGTACCTCCAGCTCTGCAGAGCAGCGCATGGCCAAGAGGTTAAAAGGCATGAGGCACCGAAATGAGAGGGAGAGAGAAGCATCAGCTCTCAGGCTGCTGTCAATTGAGCCTGTGCCTCTGTAATGTGAGGGGAGGGAAGCGGAGGGGTGGAGGGTAACCTGGCACAGAACCAACCACTAATGCCCCTTAAATGTCAGAGACTGTAGAAAGGAAGGGAGACAGCAAAAAACGAGAGCACATCCATATTTCAGTATGGCAGATGCTATAATGCGTTGCCCCCTTACACTGAGTGCACACGAGGACACCGGGAGGGAGGAGAGACGCAGACGTGCAAAACAGCGAACGAAAAAGAGTTTGCAGCAATGATGGAGGCAGCTCCATCTGATGGTTGTCTCTATTCGACAAAGTTCAGAGTGGATCTCTCTCTCTCTACCTCTCTCTCTCTCTCTCTGCAGACGAAAATCTGGTGGGTGGGGGTCGGGGGGGACGGGGTTGAGTCTGGTGTTGGGGGTGGGGTTGGTTGGACTGCTGGAGAGAGTGATCTTTTTTTCCAGTGGGGTGAAAGGCGGACGGTCATGTGTGCAGAGCTCATGACAAAAGGGCCTTTTATGTGCAGCGTATGCAGATAGAGGAGGCTCCTTTGTGCACAGATGGAGATCCCATGCCTGGGTCTGCCTGCGGCGGAGAGAGGGGAGGGAGGGAGGAGAGGGAGGAGAAGAGTGTTGGTGGAGGGAAGGGAGGGAGGGGGGGAGGAAGGGGTGTCTCTGGCACTGAGTGCCATCACTGTGTCTGGTGGGGGGAGGGGGCACGGAAAAGGAGAACCAAGCTGTCCTGGTCCTGCCAGGTTCATCCATTAGGGAGGAGGGGCCATGAGGTTTGTTAAGAGGATATGGAGACTGGTAACCCCACAGTGTGGACACAGTGAGAGCCCCATCTACTGACTAACAAGTGGATCAGAGTCCAGTATGAGTCACCAGTAATCTCTGGTGTTTGTTTTTAAGACCTCGTGAAACCTTAGTTAGCAATATTTACTACCCCAGGTTTTACAGGCCGTGGATTACTGGGTGAGAAAAGCTTAACCTACTTTCTGATGCCAACTATCACCTGCTTGTAAGTGGTTAGAGATGCCAATATCAGCTTTACCCAAGCACAATATTGTACCTACGATAAAGAGAGCCAAACAAACATTAAATAAAGGAAAGAAGACGTCCACTCTCAAGTTCAGCCTCAATTTTCACCGTTCAGAGTGAGCTAACATGCATGCACACTAAACTAGGCTGTGATTGGGTTTGTTTACAGCACCTATTTCATATAATACCTGTGGATTAGTCTGAATCCTGGGGTCAAAAATCAGTACACACCATAATCCTGGTATTGCGAATTAAGAATATCTCACCTGGACCAGATAACAGTGTCTTAACAACACGCTGGCCATGTCCCAGATCGCAGGATGAAGCCATTTAGCACACTCTGTTTCCTACCAGAGTCATTTAGATGTGATGATTTATACGGAGAGCTCATTAGCAGATTAAATACAGAAAAAATCAAAGACTACTGCACTTGTTTTTTCATAAAATTATAGATACAAATGGATAATATTCTTTTTTTTTTGTTGATGTTGTTTTGGAGAGGATTTTTCGTCTTTAATATACCAAACAGCTGATAGACAGGAAGTGTAGATAATAAGATGAGGTTGAGATCTGCAGCAAAGGGTCAACTGCTGCTAAAGCCTCTGTACATGAGGTACATGCTTAAACAGCGAGACCAAAATAATATATTTTCCGTAAATTAATAAAAACATATTTTCAACTATACAATTTATCTCATACATAAAGATAATGGTCTCATGAAAATCCTTCTAGATTTCAGTAAAAATGAGAACAAACATGAACTTCCCTGGTTGCGATTCTCTTGTTGAACAGCTGCTTCTCTTCATACTGCGGCGCATGATGAAGTGAAGCCGTGTCAGCGTACATTGTGTACATGGTCTGTGTGTACATTGATTGTACACACAGACCATGAAAAACACCAACACTGTCACATCACCCATGGGTTACAACAGCGGTTGACGCCACATTGAAAACACTGACTCAACTTTTAATTAACCAAGACATCCTGGCGAAGACGTGACACTGAAGCGGGCTACTACGGTGACAACGCAACAACTCAGCTAAGCGCCTTATTTTATAATGTTTTAGATGATCTCGAAACAACCCCTGCTCAGTGTGTAAATAAATGAGTTATACACCCAAAACTATTAGGTGAACCAGGCTGGAAATATGATGAAAAGTCATGGAATAAGAGAGCTTCTTAAAACCGATGGTGGTACAAAGAAAATGGTGCAAATCCCAAAAGAAGTTGAGCAAACACCTGGCAGTCATCTTTGGAAAAAAGTTAAAATACCTTTGCAAACTAGCTGGCCGATACCAATTATTAGTAATCAAGGAAACTGATAACTGATATTCATTTACAAAAAAAATGTATATTTTGGTGTCAAACTTTTAGGTTACACACCTGGGATTAGACTAGACACAGGACACTGCTGGTTTGTTTTTGTAAATCCGTGATAAAAATACCTTAACTGTTGTTCAATAAGATACACTCTCCTCTCTCTGTCTTGCTGTGGATCTGCACCTAGATGCCTGAGTGTTGATTGGCTGTCTATGTAGCCAATCAGTGAGGACATTGTTACACAGCCAAGAGTGGTGACTTCAGGCAGAGTGAGGCGGCTGTGTAAGAGCAGAACGAGCGTGTTTTAAAATAAACTTGGTGGGAAAAATGGCCGATGCGAATTATCGTAAAAATGCCAAATATTATCTTCTGTGCTGATTATTGGTAGATCCTTGATATAAACTGTATATTTTATTATCCAGTGATTTCCCTGACCTTTAAGACGACCATAAATATGTTTGATATTGCTGTAAAAAACAGTCAAGGCACCATAGACTGTATATACTATGGACAACTTGGTTCTGCCTACCGCCAGTAAACGGATTTGAAGCCTAAAAGTTCTCAGTAATTCCGCTTTTTTCTCCACTTCCTGAAACCAACCTTTCGCAGTAGCGTTGTACGCATTCGGTGGGAGAGTCACCGGGAGTCACTCGGCACAAACAGCTTATCCCCCAGGTGAGCTACGCAATCTTCGTGCACCCATAGGCTGTACCAGGTGTCAATCATAGAAAACATGAACGCCCTAATAACTTTTAAAAACGGAGCTGCAGATAAAAAAGAGGACTTGAGCACAAACCAGTCTGATAGAAACTACATGTCAACATCACAAGCAGGGGGAAAAAAAATTGTATTCTGTGTAATAAATTACTTAAGTTTGTCCAAAGCTCCATAGGGATTGGTGGAGGAGGCGGGATTTATGACCTATACTGCAGCCCATCACCAGAGGGTGCTGTTCTCGGAGTGGCTTCACTCAGCGAGGAGGCAGACTCTGTCCATTCTATATACAGTTTATGCCTGGCCCCCAATGGGTATCCCTTGACTTTTGCAGCAAGCCTCTAGTGGACTCTCAAGGAACTGCAGTTTGTCTGCATTAGCTCCTGTCTTCAACACTGGAGGCTGCTGCTCAGCTGTTTGCTGCCTTTTACAATATATCCTGAGTAAGTTCACCGTTTAAGTGAGTTCAGACTGAGGTAAAAATTAAATATTTCCTTTATAGTTCCTTCAGAGTAACGGTGATTTAGATGAATCTTGCACCTCAAAGCTGTAAAACTAATAACCACTAACACACTCACAGAAGCCTCTGTTCTGCAGCAGTATTATCTTTGTATCAGTGCTTTTGCCTCACACTCTTAATAAACCATATATCTTTCTATCTCTGTGGAACACAGTGGGATAAATGTTTACAATGTCTCCTCAGACACCTTTCTGTCAAAGGACGAGGTGACTCCCGCTGACATCCCGTCTGCTAATGAGACGTCACATCCTCTCAGCGGCCTCCCGCTGACCGGGGCATCTTCACACCGCAACCACATACATCCCTCTCCTGCCAGAGAACCTAGTGATCCAACCCTTGACACCAGGAGACAGATGGACACCCCCCCGACCCACACACATAAACACACTGACAGTCAAGTTAACCTCAGCACATAAGGCTTAAGCTGCTGGTACGCTTACACTGATCTGAGAACTGTTCCTATTCAAATGTCTGAAAATGGAGGTCATTAGAGATGCAGAGATTTGTCTGGGGATGCATTAACCAGCACCTTTGATCATTGATACGGTAATGTTAGCTAGTGTGCTTATTATCTCATTATGAGCAAAAGAAGGGCCATGAACTTTTTCTTCCACACCATAATACTAATAATAATCTGCCGCTTATGAGTTTGGAGGTTAGATGTATGGGATAACCTCTAAGGGCATCTCTACTGAGAAAGCAAGGACTGTAGATCCAGTAAGGAGGTTGGATGAGAGGATGAGGAGTCTGGTTCACTCTGGGCTGTATGTGGGGTGCACAATTTAACCCCTGAGCTAAACTGGCATCTCCTGAGAGACCATTAAAAAAAACACACAAGTCTTGATCTTGAATGTAATGTAAGTCAGTATGAATATCTTTAAATGTGTCTCCATTATTTGCTCTAACCTTCAAAGTTAGAGAGGATCTTCTTGACTGTATTTGTACAACTGGGAACAAGTTTTCTTGACATACATGTTATAGAGTGTAAATTAGAAATGATACTTTTTTTAAACTGCGAATTTCCTCTAAAACTATGTGCATAATTTAGAAATATAGGGTTACTTCATGTGACACTTTTTAATCTGCAGGAGAAAAAAAAGATCAATTTGAATATATCTGTAAGGATACACAGATAATGAAATTTAGGGCCAATACTAATGTTTCACATGACACTTCTATTGCTGTATTTCTATGCTTTTGTTTTTCTGAGTTACCTCTTTGTCTGGTTTTTCAAGCTATGAGATTTGAGGTGTGAAAAGTTTTACTAGCTGTTTTACTCCTCTTCTTGAAATGCCGTCCAAACATGTCAAACTGCATGTCACTCATATTTTTAGTTTACACAATTGACCACGAAAGAAAAAGCAGAGTTTTTCCAACAGGGGACGACTTCTGCGAATGAAAACCTCAGAAGTAATGTGTACTAGCCTCCAAACACAGAGACTGATAATATGAAAGAAGATAAAGATGAATATAATGTAATGATTCATCACTACATATCCATTTTATTTTGTTCATTTCTTGTTTTAGACCTTTTTAAAACATATTTTTTCCTATAAACCTAAAATTTGTATGGTAGCATGACTAAGAATGGACAAACTGTCATCAAGATTTTTAGCTTAATGACTTGACAGTGACTTGGATGTTAATTTTATGACTCTCAAAAAATGTTTTCAATGCTGTTTTTTCTCTCTAACACATAAAAATGAGGCAAACTCAGCGGTCAGTTCATGAAAATGTATCTGCATAAGCTAAACGAAACAACGAGGTGTTTCTACTCTGGCTGGTTCATCGGCTCCGGTCTGACCCAGGTCTGCCTCGCCTTCAGTCTGCCGACCAAGTGAAAGGCTAGAACCTGCTCTTCTGTATCCTGGACTAGCTGCTAATCAAAGGTATTTCTGCTGAGAAGAGACAGAAATGGACGTTTGTTTGTCTGCGATAAAAAGTAAAGTCAGATTTTAAAATAAATAAAATTATAAATCAGCTTCTCTTTCATTATTTTTGTGATGAGTCATGTTCTCAACACTGTTGTAAATAAATATGTATTTTGTGGATCTGTTTGATTGAAAACATTAAACTTTGGATTGTCATAAAGAGTGAAGTGCACACAGTCTAAAGTTAGACAGAGGTGTGGGGACGATGAAAACGGCGATAAAGAGGAAAACTCTCTTTGCAGTGTGCAATATCAGCCTGTCTCAATTGACCTGTAAAATCTTCAAGACTGGAACAAATGCAAATAGCTGACTTGCTCGAACAAAAAAAAAGGAGAAAAAAAAAAAAACTGAAGTCTTTTCAGGCTAACTCGCTCTCACAATAGTGTGGTGCCCAGAGCGGGCTGAATATTCGGTCTGGACTCTGAATGGCACAATGTGAGAGAGCCAAACAGGACGTTGTGCAGTGAAGGCTCAGGACCCTCCAGGCTGCCTGCTGCTGCTCAGCTGAGCCCCGGCTGCTTCCACAGCACAGCTCTGACCAGGATCACTGCAGCTTCTCCTGAGTAACAGACTATCGCAGGCCTCATAGTCGGTACGAAACTAAAATTAACAAGGTAAACTAAATTCGACAGCAGTTATACAAACACAAACAAAGCAAGTTCACAACCATGTTACAGGGCAGCTCTGACTGAGTAAGTGTTTATCTCTGCTGGGTGGACTTAAAAAAGAACAAGTTGCTTCCTAAACTTTAAAAAGTTCACCATAAAACTGCTGCAAGACTTGCCGAGAGGATCTTTTAGCTATAGAGCAGGTCTTTAGATCACAAAGGTTGAGTTTCCATCAGTCTGTGCAAAGGTTATCTATCTCTAACAAACATGAGGAGCTCTGATTCATGAAACCTGTTGATTACAAGCAAAACACTGACGCCACTTTGTGCTCACTCATTTTTTAAAAGGTACCTTATAATCTCTTCAGCGACAACTCAAGACATGGACAGATTTCTGCCTTATTTTGATTGACGCACCTGCCACCATTTTACCACATTTTCCTGTTTTTTTTTTTTAATTTTAAGTTTTATTTTAAGCAAAATACTCTCAGACGAACCTAAAAGGTATTAATGATTTTGACTGTTTCGTCTCTAAAACATTATAGCTCTAACCAAACATGATGGGTATTGGTTTCAGCAAAGGTGTTATTTTAAAAAAACAAATAACACTTTTTCTTACAAATACTGAAGCCAATATTCTAAATGTACAAGTCACTATATTTGACTAAAACCAATGGATTAAGCCAGACACAGGCTTCTGGCACACACTTGCACTCATCTATACTTCTCCAAGTACAATACTATAAATCTAAACTCAGAGAAAAACATGTCAGGTATTATGAAGGGGTATCAGAGTTATGTTTTTCTATTTCAAAATTACATAAATATAGGAATCATAAGAAAATCTAACTACAGTTTTGGGAGGTCAAAGTTGTATTATTACAAGAATTAGTAGTAGTAGTAGTAGTAGTAGTAGTCGTTTATTCAGTCATGACAACACCAACTATTGTACACAATATTGACATTTCACAAAAAATCACTAAATCAAGAATCACGTGTTCAATATTGACTGAAAAGGCAGGAGCAGACTGCTTATAAAAGCCTATCCTGTCTTGTCAACTTTTTTAGGCTTCCGACCTCCAGAAAAGCAAAGAAACCACAACAACAGAGATTAATCGCACTTATAAGCTTCAAAAATAGCTTAACAAACCTTTTTCTTAAAAACCGAAAAATAATGTTTTTAGATTCATGATTTAAGTCCTAGTATAATGAGAAAAGAGTCAAAGTAAAGTTGGAATATTTCCAGAACAAAAGTCTAAAATTCGTTAGAGAACAGTAATAATAATGGCTCATTGTTCGCCTGTATTTGAAGTTGAAGGAGTAGATCAGATGAGCAGCCTGAAGCCTCACAAACCAAAATGTAGGACATGAGGCATCATTTTTAATTTTATGGGGGGAAAAAAAACACATCAGCTCCACAGTGTCTGAAGTTTGAGGATACTTTATCAAAGGTCTGAGAAGCTGAATCTGTTATAAAGACATGCAAGCTAACAGGCAGCCAGTGCTCTCCTCTGTAACCACAGAGCTAATCCATGTTCTTGGATTCATCACAGGTGGATGACCGCTCTTCTAATATCACCTCTGTGATCCTTACAGCCTTTAAATTTAACTTCTCTGTCATAAAACTGCAACATTATTCTTACAAGACTATGACATTATTTTCTGACGACTTTATTCTCATAATTATGACTCACTGCAGCTAGGATCATTCTTCGCCACTGGAAGAGTCAGAATCGACCAGAATTTACTGACTGGGTTAAGATGATGATGGATAATGTCTCCTATGAACTAATGATAGCAAGGTTGAATAATAACAAAGAGAAATGTAACCAGGTATGGGGCCATTTTCTGTGCTGTTATGTTTATGGGTTGGGCTCTGCGTGAATATGTATGCATATTTTGTTTTTGGTATGTGTAATTATGATCAATATGGTTGTTTTGTTTGTGCTGAAGTTTGATGTCTTCTGTAAAATGTTTAATTTATAAAAGTTGAATAAAAACTTCAATTACAAAGTATTCAAACTCTGTTCTCATAATATTTATGTCTTAGTTCTGGAAATCTTCATTTTCCCCTTTTTCTAACCCCCCTAATCCCCCATCATCAATTTTAACCAATTCTGGGTTCTTGTTTTTTTTCTTTCTCTGGATCTTCAAGTTAAAGTTATACAATACTCAATATCAGTTTAATGAAAAACAGAAAAAAAAGATATTACAATAAGTTTGGTTAACTTTTAAGGTCTTGTGCATATAAATGACAATCTTTAGGGATATCCAGCTGTCAGATTCTCGACTGAAATGCTCCCTTGAGCGACAGTGGGCCTTAAGAAAAGAAGCTCTCGCTTAGGCACATTTTATATGATCCTGTGTTAAATTTTTTACTTTCAAAAAAATCTGTCAATACAAATTCATTTGCTCTTCTTTTCTCTGTCGGCCCACCACTGTATTAACTTACTAAATACAAAAATTGACAAGTGAATAGAATGTCCTCTGTGTGTTACTGTAGAAGTATGATGGTCCAAGATGGCGGTCCCAGTTAAGGGGGGGCCCGCTCTTGGTGTAGATACAAAAGTCTCACAAGCTTCAGGTTCAGAAAAACAGTTTAACTTTATATTTAAGTGACTTAAACACACTTATGAATAGAGTCTATTTCCATCAAGTCTTTTCTGCTAAATACCAAATGAAAAATATTTGAAATTGTCTTTTTATAGGAACAGATAAGAAATAAACTTGTCTGATGTACAGCGCTTGATGTTTTTTTTTTAGATTATTTTGATTTTTTAGCACTTTATCTAAAAAGAAAAGGCCAAACAGTTAATGCAGAATAAAAGAGACTTTTAGTCAGAAAAATCAACTTCTGCAACTTTTTTCCAAATCCCTAAATGAAGCCACAGCCGTGTGTTTTAGATTCAGAGACAGTACATTGAATGTGCTCCTCACTGTCGAGCCCCACGTCTCTATCTTTGACTGAGGAATGTTTCGGTGATATCTCTTTAAGAGCACACTGAGCCTACAGCTGTGGGAGCTCTCAGCTTTGCTGCTTCTCTTATTTCTACATTCATTTTCAGCCTGTGCAAAGATTTTCGGAGCCGCTCTCTGAACATCGGCAGGCACTTTCACCGACAGCCAAACTTCCCAGCATGCCTTGTGGCGGGGCTGGCTTTATTCACAAAGTTAACTGTGAAGTTGCTCTCCTCACCAGAGGACACAAACCCTGCTGCAGGTTTGCATGAGACCTAAAACAGACTGTCCGGACGCTCGAGCTTTTGCATGCAAACTGTACTTAGAGCTTTTATTGTTGTGCTGTCTTTCATTAAACTGACACTTCATTTTCTGTCAGGAATCTCTTACAACTTTTGATGCATGGCTATCATTTGAAATTTGGGGCTTGAAAAATCCCCCAAACTCCCAAAATTAGTTATGAATGACACATTATGATGTTTTATATCAATTAGCTTCTTTCATCGTTTCTCCAAATATTTGAATAAAACCACTAAAATAAAAAAAAAAACTGTCTTCAATCACACTCCTCTCAGTCCACCCTCTCTCTAACACATGCACCATCAAAGCTACTTGAAACCGATTTTCTGTGATGCACAACTAAATCACATTTAATCCAAACACCATGGAAACAAACTGGATATTACATCTCCACTGGCAGTGACATGCAAGGGACGGCACAAGCTGCCTGCAGCATCTGGTGGACACCTGTAAGACTGCAAGTCACTGGAGTGAATGAGAGAGCTCTTTGTGATTCTGCTAAGTCACCAAAAAATCTGGGCCAGAGTATACTGACCCTCAGCACCCCACCCCGGCTCCAAAGCCTTCAGCACACCAGCAGTGTGGGGTATTTAACTCCAGCGTTTGATCACTAAATCAAGGGCAACATAAATAACAATGATCAGTCAGGGAACGGCAATAAAAACATCAACACCAATCTGGTCAGCCCGGACAAGACCAGGTTCACAGGGTGGGCAGCAAATCAAGTTCTGCCAACTTTTTTCCGTTGATCACTGACGCAGAAGGAACAAGTCCCCTCTACTTGGTTTTTTTAATCTTTTCCAAGTAGGGACAGCGGGATCTGAAACGACCTGAAATAGAGTTTAAAAGGGAGAGTGATTCAAAGTGGCTTCTGTGTGTTACTCAGGTATTAGTCATCCCCTCACATCCTTTTCTTACACGTGCGAGACTTGTTACAGAGCAGGTTAGAGAGATTGAAACTATAAAAGTAGAGGAAATAATTCACAAATAGTAGAGAGCAGAGTTTTAATATGTATTTGTACTTTGAAAAATGAGGGCAATCTGTGTGTTTTTGCCTTGTGTTGCATAATATTTTATTGTTATCATAACAGTAACATGCCCTTTTTTCTTTCGACCACAAAGATGAAAGAATCAGCTCTGTGACACGCTCAACAAAACCTGGTCTGAATCGCAAGAATATGATATTTTACAGATGTTCAGGTCATTGCGTTCACTATGTATACATAAATTACGAACAGCGATCGTTTCGGGACCCTTTTTTCTCTTGATTCAATGAACCGCTGAGTAAACAGAGAGGGGAAAAAAAAACAAAAAACATATTTAGTGTCGCAGGGAAAATTAGGACTTCATTTTGGGAGACAAAATCTTTTACCCATACGGACAAAGAAAAGCGAAGAATCCACATGTGTTTTAGCTCAAGTGCTTCAGACGTGTATCTAGTTCACGCCGAGAGCTTGTTCATTTACAGGAGCTAATCACTACAAGTGAACCAGATCACAAAGGGACAGTCACTGACACCAGAGCAATTACGGTGTACAGGTCTAATCCCTTACACAGCACTTAGGACAGTTTTAGAGGCCACCAGGGCACACTGCGGAGCTCCCCAAACTGTTAGGGTGCAGTTTGGTCCATTTTACAGCCACTGGGGCACAGGCCTGATTGTTAAGACCAGGGAAAGTAATCCCTGGAGTCAGGCCACTAAACCTGCTCTGTCTGTGTAACCATGGCAGCAGACAGGTAGTGTCTGGGTCACAGGGCAAACATGGCTGGGGCTTCAGTGCTGGCCGCCAGTTAATAAAAAGCTAGCCTGGTGTGAACACAAACACACATACAGGCGGACGCACGTGTGCATACATTTAAATGTTAATGAAGTCGCAACACATGCGCGTTCAATACAAACACCCTAGTAAAATCACACACACACATACACAGAGGCACACGTACACACGGGTTCGGGTGAAAGTCGCCAGCTGACCCAAAGACTGATACAACCACCACAGAGCAGTATGGGTTTCAGTTAATCAACACTGGCATTGAATATTAAACAGGTTCAAGTCTGAACCCTTTGTGCTAAACACACCGAGTCAAGGAGACAAATGAGTCACAAAAGGACGGATGGACATGTAAACCAATCAGTTTCAAGAAATGTCACATATGCATGTCACCTGAAAGGACGAAACAGGCAGGAGAGTCTGTCTGTCCTTCAATATAGTTCATTTAATAACATTCGGAGGCAAAACTATATGAATTAGGGAAACAAGTTTGACAGAATCCTCTGTGGAAATGTTTGCAATCCATTATCAATCACTCATTAATAAGAAACCGACTTTTCCTCTGACTAAAACAATATATATTTTTATAAACTAAATATATTTTCCACAGTAATAACTGAAGGTATTGCTTAGCTACTGAACATTGAGAGGCGTGTAAATTGTTTAATATGATGAATATGAACATAATCTCAGTGGATGTAAAGCCAAACGACGACATGTGGAACGGAAAACTGCTTTCTGTTTTTCTGCCTCCTTTTTCTCACTGAGATAAATCAGCATGTCCGAGTGGTGGAGTGTCAGTCGGGAGCCATAATCAGTCAGACAGGAGAAAACACACGCTCAGACGGCACCGATGTTGCTGGGGTGCAGATGTACTGGTGTGGTCTTGAAACTCTCCCTGTGTTGACTCTCTACCAGTCTGTCGTCTTTGTATCCAATGATGAGGTAATGTCCTAAAAAAGTTCTGTGCAGCTAAAAAAGAGCCCCTCTCTGAGCATCCCATCACCTTTAGCAAGTATGAAACATGTTTGAAGAGACAGCTGAATGTAATCTGAAACAGGTACGTTCTAAACAACCAATTAATCTGACACTCTTTTCATCGTCGAGATCCCCCAATTTGACATTTTAACTTCTAAGCCACTGTCAGACAACAGCCAGAGTCTGATCCTTTGAGGTGGTTACATAGCATAATAGAAAGATGTCATCTCTTAAGCTAATGGTAGGCCTGCTGATAGCCAGAAAGTGTTTGACTTCCAACCAATATTGTTTGATAGTAGCCTACAGAACAGTATAGTAGGAACCCACCAAGCAAAAAGTGGTTGAAAAGACGTTGAAAAGACATCTTCGCTATATGTCTCTAAACAACGTCTAGGTTCAGACCGTCTAAATAAAGCCCAGTTTTCAGCGTCTTTTTTTTTTTGGTTAAAGTAGGACCGAATCAAACTGTTTAACTGAGGCCTAGTTTTTAACGTCTTTTTTTGGGCTAAATTAAGCCCGAATCAGATTGTCTAAATGACGCCCATTTCCAACGTCTTTTTTGGGCTAAAGTAGGATTGAATAGAACCATCTAAATGAAGCCCAGTTTCCAACGTCTTTTTTTGGGGGGAGGCTAAAGTAGGACAGAATCGAGCTGTCTAACTGAAGCCTAGTTTTTAACGTCTTTTTTGGGCTAAATAAGGACCGAATCAGACCATCTAAACGAAGCCCAGTTCTCAATGTCTTTTTTGGGGCTAAAGTAGGACAGAATCGGATTATAGAATCGGAATAAGGTCGTAAATCAAACCTTTTAACTAAAGCCTAGTTTTTTACGTCTTTTTTTGGCTAAAGTAGGACTAAATTTTTTAGCTAAATTAGGATTGAATCGGATTGTCTAAATGAAGCCTAGTTTTCAACGTCTTTTATGGGCTAGATTACGGCCATGACATGCCAATGTGACTTAGCCTAAAAAAAAAAAAAAAAAAAGAAAAATGTCTAAATGACATTGGGTGTTTGGTGGGAAAGGCATATATCCTTACTATAGGTAATGTTAAAAATTAAGTGTTAGTATGCTACCATCAGCTGATGTCTTAACTAGGCTAATGTCTTTCCAGTTAGCCATCAAACAGAGGATGAGTTAAGTGTCAATGATTTCTTCAATCCACGACATGTATGTTAAAAACCGGCGACTCATAACCTGATATCGGTATTTGAGCTTCTGGTCCTGAGCGTGAGGGGAAAGTGGCCACCATGTAAGTATGATCAATTGTTTATAACAGTACTTCTCCATTGCATTTTATTACATGTGCAGTCTAGGCAGTCATAAAATACGTCTTTTGAAGAGTGAAACATCATAGGGAACACATGCTGATTTTCCCGGGCCCCAAACCCTTTCATTTGAAATAAAGGTAATAAATAATGATGATTCTGGTACAAGCAAAATCCAGTTTGATTCTTTCTTTCTCCAAATTGGCCAAACGATGGTCTGGTCTGTCTTGCACTTTGGAAAGAAACACATGATCTCCCCTGGCCTTTTCTCCATTTACCAGCTCTCCCTCTCTCTTTTCAGTTGCTATGAGACACTCCAGCTGAAGCCAAGGCTTCCACAATTCATTACCGGAGGAACAAAAGCCAAAGCAATGGACAAAGCAGGGCAGACCAACTCAAACCAGCTTCCACTTAACACACACATCACACCTCTGAGTACTCTGCTGACAGACAAATGGCCAATTCAGGACCTCTTCTTTTTCTTTTTTTATTCATTTTTTTACAATGCCAGTGGGATAAATGAAAGAAACGCTCCAGATTCATAGTAAGAAGTCAACTGGTTGAAGATTTTCCACATTTTGGAATCGTGTTTTCCAAATTCCCGCCAAGGAGTAGTTCTTCTCGACATCAAAACTGTTTTCAAGCGCTTCGAGGTTTTAAAGTACACCCAGATGAGAGAAAAAGTCATTTCTAGTACGTCTTTCAAGGTGTGTTACACCGCTATTGAAGGATTTGTTGCCATAGACTGGGTAGGCAACACTGCACCATCAGTGCAACATCACCTGTCTCCAGCTTTCCACCAGCTCTGCCTCGCCAAATCATGAAACATCTCTTTTCCCTCCAACCAATCGGATCTCACTCTGTGGCTGTTCTCATGCAAAGAAAGAAAAGGGAAGGCCAATGAGAAATGGCCCTTCCTCCTTCCCCTCGTATCCTACACACACACACGACAATCACCGTATGAGAAATGCCAACGGACGGGCAATCAGTCATTGTAATTAGGCTGGCTGCCATTCCCGAGCCTTCATAATTCAGACTGGAGCTGGAGGACATAGGTAGTGAGAGCCCAGCTGCCGGCTGCCACGGCCCACCCCTGGCTCACCCAAACCCTAACACAGGCCACTCCCTTCTCCCCTTCTTTCTCCCCTCTCTGCACCCACTGTAGGGGGGGAACCAGAAACATAAGGGGGGCTGGCTGACTGCAAAATTAAAAACTCCCCCTCATCTCCCTCCCTTCCTCCTTGTCTACGTCCCAAAACCGCTCCCACTCACACTTTCTTTTCTCTGCACTGCAGAGTTTTGTTCTCAAAACTGCGTGAGTGTGAAAACAGATACCTTACGCTGAGAAATAGCTTTAAAAAAGAGTAAGGGTCTTAATCCAAACATATAAAACACCTCTATAAAAAGTGAGCTAGTGTCATTTTCCCCGTCCAGTTTTATTTGAAGGTGAAAAGCTAGCAGATGTTATTGTCCGCGCTGTCTCTAGGTGTAGGGAACGCTGGATTTACAGTACAGACATGGCGTGCTCTTCTCTCTGGAATTCACAACCAAACGGGAAACTATGGCAGTATTCTGCAGAGATTCATTTTATTTGCTGAAAGGCCCTGGTGCAGTCAGAGACTGGCTTTGCCTGTTGTATAGGACCTGAAGTTTTCTTGGCAGTGCAATGAAGAGCTGCAAGTTCAGCCAAAATAGACAATAAAGCAGAAAGAAGAAACATGCCAAATTGCCAGGGCAATTCAGTCCAGAGGCTCATTTTTCCAAAATGATTCACACTGGAAAGAAAAGCATTTCCCTGTCCTCAGATGAACTTAGTGTGCTCTCTGTCGGCTTTTACAAGGAAGCGATAGGGGGGGGAGGGAGGAAATCGCATGCACACTTAATCACACACACACATACACAAGCGCGTGCACACACATACACAGTACCATAGAGCTATCAGCGCAGATTCTTTGCTCACTGTGGAATTAGGTCATGCACATAAAAGCCCCAAACACAGACACGCATATAAACACGCACTACTTTACAAAGACATTTTCAAAGTCACAGGGGAAAAACCTCATACACTGAATCTTTGCGAGAAAAACACAGATAACGACAGGCGTTCCAGGTAAGTGGCGTTTACAGTACATGTACTGTACCTGTGATCCATAAGTTGCAGACAAACAGCTTGAACTCACCGCTGAGTGCAGCAGCAGCAGGAGCAGCAGCACAGTAAAGATTGAGGGAGGACTAAAGGCAAGTTTTGCATCAGTCAGCAGTGTCCTGAGGCTGCTTTATTGGCTTGTCTGGCTCAGCTGGCTGACACTGTTCACCTGTTAATGCTCCCCACTGCAGGGTGACTGTCAACAGTCTGCAGCAGCACAGCAAGAACAAGAGGCCCATACATTATCTGAACGTCAAGAGAAACAGATGTGGAGGTGTTCGGATGCTGTTTTTTGCAGGCCGAGGCCAACGCTGAAACTGTAGTGCAACAAAGAACCTGCATGCTATCGATGAAAATCACAGAGTAGAGACATTATGATCAACATGAACTTCTCTATTCAAAACTTAGAGAGAAAATATGGGAGAGAATATTGATACAGCATAGTATCGCTATGATATTTTTTCTGGTGAAATATCATATCGTCTCATTTACCCGGTATCGTGTTTTTGTTTTTTTTCAAATGAATTGCTAATATGAAGTCAAATCTATGATAATGGAATAATAAAATAAACTGTTTGTCTATTAAGGTCAGCAGAGGTGAAATCACTGAGCAGGGGAAAGTACAACAAATATAGCAGCACCTGGGGAGGGACATTAGGAATGCAAACAGGGCACAAATGAGACGGACCTGACACATGAGGTTTGCAAGATGTGCTACATGAAAATAAGGCTATGTTCACACTGCAGGTCAATTCCAATTTTTTAACCATATGTGACACGTCTGATTTTTTCATGTAAGTGTAACAGTGCAATTCTGATTTTTTTCAAATCCACGCCTCTTTTGTATGTGGATATAAATTGGATATGTATCTGATGTGACTGCAGAGTGGACGCGTTCATCCGACCTATACGTCATCAATATGCGACAGACGTCACCATTGTTCGACAACACAAACAGGCACGAAAGCAATTTGTGCTTTGTGCGCATGCAGGTCACTTCATGGACGCATTCTATTCACATTAGATGCCGCATTTATTGTTGTAATGTGAACGACCGCACAAAAAGATCGGATTTAACAAAAAATCTGAATTGTGCATCATAACCTGCAGTGTGAACGTGGCCTAAAATACAGTGTAAATAAGACAAACAGGAACAGGAAAAGGAAAGACAAATGCTAAATTAGCTAAACAGTTGAAAAAATTATATAAATCACAATATATTGTATTGCAATACTCACTGGATTGCAAAATGTTAAAAATCGCAATAATACTGTATTGTGGCCCAAGTCATTCCCACCCCTAGTTACTGTCTCCTTTCCAAATCTAAAACAGGCATTTCTTTCGGAAATCATATTATATGAGGAAGACAACACAAATATATCACGGTTCTGGACATGTATGTTGTCTAGTCCAACATCTAAGCCATATCAATGTGATAAAACGATTGATGCACCTAACAGAATCACAATCGAAGAAGCGTCATATTAAAATGATGAAATATTTTCAATGTCAGACATCTAACAAGGCTCGCAAATGCAGTCTGTTCCAACATGTCAGCACAACCCGATATCTACAGCTCGTGAAGGAGGGGTACAGCAGCTCACTTTGTAAATATCCACTCATTAAGTCCCACAGTTTAAATTAGATCTCGCTCTAAGCAAACATTAAGCATTAGGTTACATCGAGGAGATAAAAGCCTTCTGTATGATTTCGCCCAGAGCTTTTAAGCACTCATAACTTGCTTCTACTAACGACGGTAAACATTTGTGCAGCTGTTGTGCAATGGGAGAAAAAAAATTGGAGCGAGAAATAATGTTGGATCAAAAGTGAAAAATAAGGAAATCAAGCCCTGAAATATGCAATTACAATAATCGTTTACGTGAAAGTTATCACACTACGGCAATTTTACTGTCAGAATGAATCATTATCCTTCCTCTGTCTGTTCAGAGACCTTGCTTACTCATCAGATTATGTTCAGAAGTCTTTAATAGCCTCCATATAATAATTGATGATACAGCCAGTGTTTATAGGATGAGCCCCGGTCAGCTATTACCTGATGAGCCGTAAACTAGAACTTAAAAACAGAGTGCAACAACAGCCAAAAAATACGTGCAAAGACATGATTGTGCTCGGAAAACAGCAGAAAGTTGGAGGTTAGAATTGAAAAGCTGAATATTATCTTTAAAAATGTACTTTAAAAGATGCAACAAGTCAGATCCATTCAGAATCATTGATTTTTAGATGTTTTCAGGACTTTGTAAACACTATTTAGGAGCAAGTTTTCTATGTTGTTGTTGTTGGATATTATCTTTTACTTGGGAAATAAAAACATCTTTTTCTTTGTGTGACTTCTGACACCTTGGAGGAAGACGGTAAATATGAAAAGAGAGAGGAAAAATAACAGCGTCAATGTTCATGACACCAGTTCTATGCGCCTTTCACGTAGACTTGTGTGTTAGATTTTCAGTTTGGTTATTCATGACAAAAAAGGATGGTCGGACGGTTAAAACATACAAGAAGCTGTAGTCCTGAAATAAATAAGTTCCACTCATTTAGTCTGGTTCTTCTCAGGCTTAAGCGACAGGTCATTACACTGCACTGATTTCAGCACTGAGGGATCGCAGATGCAAAGAGGTCACAGCCGCAGAACAACCAAAGTGCTGCATGAGGAGTAATTCTGATTGTATTACTGTAACAAATACAATCTGCAATTTATGAACCACTCTTTAACTTAAGATTTCAACTCAGATTGTCTATACTGTTCGTCTCAATACACAGGAGAAACTGCATCTTGTGGTTCTCCTGCGTTATTGAATTGCACGTTAAGGCAGCTTTAGTGCGCACAGCGTTCTGTATTTTGACAATTATTACTCTGATGTTTTATGTTTTCAATAATGTCTTTTTGGATGCTCGTCTCCAAAGGTCTATCTCTGCTGGAATACAAACTCCGTTCCTGAGAGGACGTCTCTGAAGCTAACCTTTTATAGAGAGTTTTAAACTTCACAAACTGCACCCATGACTCTTTTATTTATGCCACATAAACAGGGCTTAAAATAAGTGAAGCGAAAGGCTGAACCTAAAGTGTCCTCGACGCAGCTGCTCCCCCATCATAATGCCAGTATCATGAGAAAACTGCTGATGTTTGTCAAGGTTGAAAATAGAAATAAAACAGCTTGGATTTGGTTTAATGTGTGCTTCAGCTTTATATTGACTTACACTCAACCTTAATCTGACTGGGTAACAATGAAATGTTGACCTTTTTTTCCCAGGGACAGTGACCCTGAATGACACCAACACCAAAGAGTGGCGGTGGAGGCAAAAACAGGAAATCAACTACAAATCAGAAAAACCACAGCAGCACTGACTGAAAATAATGTTGAAAACCAGAGCTAATGATTCAAATGTGCAAATATCAGTGGATATTTGACTTTTACCTGTGTCAAAGTTAACAAAAGACACACTGCAAATCCAGTTTAAAATGCTCAGACACTCAAAGGTGAAGATTAAGATAATTCCACCTCGAAATATGTCCTACCGTGTCGTAAGGAGGAAGAAGAAAAGTCTGTAGACTCACCAAAATAATGAACCATGTGCTTGTAGCCTGTCAGCTGAAAGTCTGCTCGTCCCCAGAGCAACAGGCATGTGAGGAAACCGAGAGAAAAAGCGACGAATCCCGGAGTCCTCCCCGTCTGCTGCTGCGTTGTTTGAGAGCTTTCAGGTTAAATGAGGAACAGGTCATTTTGAGGACTCTGCGTGACACCCCGAGCTCTTAATATAATTCGAACAGCCTCGAAAATTATCCCCACACCCGGGTTATAATCTACGAGGTGGTCTGACTACTGTCGTGAGGACGGGATTATGGGCTACACATCCCGGAGAAAGCTTTTCATCTGGTTCATCCACCACAGGCTGCTGTCCCTAATATCTGTCCGTGCGACTGCATGGCAGATCTGACTCACTCCTTTGTGAGCTAAAGCCCGACTGAGAGTTACAATCACAGCCAACAGGGCTTCAAAGTGCGAAAGTTTGCGAGGAAACTACATTTTTATTCCCCTTTTTTTTTTGTCGTTTTTTGATGTTCACACGGCTGCAGGCTTTAAAGTTCACATGTGGAGTTTTGATGCCCTCGTAGTTGCCTGCAGGGCCAGTAAATTAATATTTGATGCTGCAGAATTGATCATAACCTCACCCTTTCTTTTATAAATTAGAGATTGGTTAACAGTTAATCATAGTTGAACTCACGGATCACTTTCCAGATGTTTCTGGCATCAATTTGATATTTTAAACCACCGCAAAAGAGCTTCAACTGTCAGCATTACACTCTTCAAAAGTGGGGTAGCTGTGTGTGTAAATGGACAGGCAAAACAGTTTTGTAAAAGCTCTCATTACACTCAGAATTCAATGATTGATAGAGTAAATTGGTTTCGTAAAAGGAATTGTAAAAGATTGTTTGATTAAAGAAGTTAATTTCAGAGTCACCTGTCGAACCACAACACCACAGTCCACCCTCTGGTCAATTCAGATTCTTTGAAACATGTAAAGAAATTAACAAAAATATATAAATAATTTTACCAAATGTGTGTTTCAAATTGCATGCCCTATTTTGCAGAAATGTGCACTGAGGGCAACATAAAATATCTTTGTTTTATAAGTCATAATCAAGAAATACAGGTACAAAACCAAATATACCTTTGGCTACATTTTCATAAAATTTCGCTGGTTGTATCCCAAGTTTTTACTCTTTTGAATACATACTGTAAGATTTCCAACTAATCTGTCAAACTGCTTGATGTGCACTTAAGCAGTCAAGTCTCTCACTCTTAGATCACTCTGACAGCCAAGTACCCCCGGGGATGTTGTAACGGCGACTCTCACTATCACTCAGAATAACTCTCACTGTATTTTAGCTCGCACCTGTTGCATGAAGAGCTCTAAAATACCAGACCTGACAGACACTAAACACACTCTGTGATGACTTTCCACCCTGAGAACACAAACAACTTTCACCCAGCAACATGTTTTGCTCTGAAGTTGAGCCACTCAGGCCTCTTGATAGCCTCTATTAATACGAACGCCACCTCTCGCATTTATGTGACTCATGGTTCTGTGAAACCTTGTTGGAATTTATGATCATTTTGATCTGCCTGCGCAGCGGTGGCACAAGAAGTGCAACCCTGCTGACCCTGTGCTGCATGGAGACAAGGGTAATAAGATTATCCGTGCATGAGTGTGAGCGTTGTTTGTGACGTGTCCTCTGCAGATTGTGTGTGCGCAGCTCAGAGGCTGTGCAGTTCAAGTGACCAAAACATTACAGTTAGAGAGAACGAGGATTACCAGTCAGGGTGAACGGGTTCATGGAGCAGCGAGCTAAGGGCATGAGTTTGGCTCCATGTGCTTGTGCCAAAGGAAATGACATAAAATGACAGGGATGTCTGACGGTTTCCACAGAGAACTTTTTGTCTCCCTTGATAATATTTGGTGAGTTCTCTTTGAATAAAATGGGACAAAAGACTTGACTTTGAAGACATGTTTTAACACCAAGAGTCAGTTTGAAAATAGCTTTGTTTTGATGCTTGTCAGGTTATCCTGTATTTCCTGGACAGACAGATAAAGAACATAAAATTGTCTTTTTCTTGTAAGGTTGGGGAAAGGGTTGAGAGATATCACAATCGGTGCCAGCAGAGCCAACGTCAGGAGCAGTAAGCTGTGTCCACCACTCGCTCCAAATGTCTTTTACACATTGTGAATTATACAACAGCATGTTAATGGGTTGTGGTATGAAACGGCAAGTTAAAAATCTCTTTTATTCCAAAATTCTGAGGAAACTGGAATGAATATTTGGAAGCTGAATGTATCAGTTGATGAAATAATTACTCATTTAATGGAAGCCTTGTCTGCAGATGCTTATTTCAGTCACTTTTTTCAGCAATAGTGCAAAGTATTTTCTGGTTCGAGCTCCTAAATTTTGAATAATTCAACTTCTTTTTGAGCCTACAAATTAACAAACCAATTATCTTTTCATATTGGAAAACCAGTCCAATAAAACAGTCTATTTTGAAGATTTCAGCCAGCTTTGGTTTTAGAATATTCTTCAGAATTTAGTAATTTTGTGGTAAAATCAAATGGGTGACTAACAAACTAAAAGTTTTAGGAATAAATCATTAAAAAATTCTTTGTTAGTCATAAAAAAAAAAAAATTCACAACATCCGATATTCTTTGTTTGCCAATTATCAATGTGAGAGTCAAAAAGGGATATATGGAGGACGATATCTTGATTTTAAAACAAGTTTGTGTTCAAGTAAAGTAAGATAATTGAAATTAACTTTCAAGACAATCTGAACTTTGAACCCAAGAGGTGGTAAAGCCAGTAAATTTGTCATTACAGCAGTTTTTAGAGAACAAGTACTGCCCACTGACGCCGACTCCACACTGAAAGTCTCTGAAAGCACCACAAGGTTTTGCCCTCAACACCCACCCGTCTGGCTGCTCCAGACACAAAGACAAAGACACAACTTTAATTCGACAGATCAGATCGAATCACTTTTGTCGACTGGATTAACTTGACTAGTCTGCTATGCTTTATTACTTTATGTAATTACAGGATGACCACTGGATTCAAGCAGATATAACAGGTACAGCAATGCTCCTCACAGGTCCTCTGAACTGCATCATGGGTATTAAAAATGAAGGAGGCAAAAGTCAGCAGACTAAAACTTTTAAATCATCAAATAGTTTTGTGTTTGATTGAGTCAGGACCTCATGGCCATGATGTGATATTTTTGAGTGTTTGTGGAAAACACACACTGTTGTTCGAATCATATCATGCCCTTATTTCACTTGTACTGACATTAATCAATCAATCAGATTTAATTTATGAAGCACTTTTCATACAATGATGATGCAATGCAAAGTGCTGTACATGATAAGAAAAGGGAAAAAATAATAGTAACAAATTCAAAATAAATGAATGAGTGAAAAAAATGAATAGATTTAAAAAATATCTGAGGGAACACCATCAGGTTGGCTAAATGAGGAAACACTGGAGGTATGATAAAATGTTAAATGTGAGACAGAAGAGTAAGAGGAGAGGAACATTAAAATGGCATATCTCTCTAATACGTGGATCAAAGCGAAGGTCTGGATCCCACTCAATTCCCACTCCAAGATTTTTGACCTGCTGACATTAGTTGAAAAAAAGTGCTTTGAGTTGAGCATACAGTTCCTCTCTCTGAGCGCCAGTACCAACGACTAAAACCGGAGTTTTTGAGCTGCAAAAAGTTCTCTGCCATCCATGACTAGATATCTAAAATACACTTAATAAGAGTAACAAAAAGGGTTTCATAAACAAGCAAAATATGCTGGAATAATTTCATAATTTGAACAAAATATTTTGGTCTAAAGCTGCCATAGTTTCCCAACTTATCTTCATCCTTTCTTTTATCATAAAAAAATTATGAAAAAATATGTATTTTGTATTTTAACTTGTGCTGTACACACAATATTTGCCAAATGCTCTACTTACTTAAATTCACAGGGTGTAACCTGACACTTAACTCTTTTCTTAATCAGATGGTGCTTTTATTTATTTGTTGTTTTTTTATTAATTCAGACACTGTTTGAGTTTTAAGATTATTTTTATAACTCATAGATCTGTTGCCTCTATTGTGTTGCTGTCTAAATGCTGCTGTTGTTGACGATGGTGGACTTTTGTGCAGATGATAAATACCATTTATTTATCCTTTCTATCGCCACTCAAACCACTGATCTGAAATGATTAAAAAATGATTTTTAACCCCATGTTTCTTCATTTTTTTAACTTAAAAAGTAATGTAACATGGTGCAAATATTCTTGGCTCAAACAAAAAAGCTTGATCAATGTCACAATTTAAAGGTGCAGTGTGTGGTATTAAGATGCGTCTAGCAGAACGGACTTGCTAGAAGTATCTGTCTTGCATATTCATCGCTACATAAGGAGGGAGTTACCTGGTAGGAAGGCTGCCATTTTGAACCACCATGTTTTTTCTGGAGCACAGAACAAACTCACTTGTGATGTTTTTGTGGTTAGTAGGTGGTCTATTTTTTGGAAGACGAAGAGGAGGAGAGTGGTCAATGTTCCACTCAAAATAATTTGTATTGATAAAGGTTGTTTAAAAGTTGTTTGATCTCTGAACGTCACCAGTGGGAGAGGCGAGTGTTTAAATCTGTAATCTATATCATAATTTAAGTCAAAGAAAGCTGCTGGCAATCTAAGTACTACCTTTAACTGTTCAAATAGTCCATTATTGTTTAGGATAATGGGGTGGCCAACCAGATTCAAAGGGAGGGGCATGAACACCTTTGAGACACTCTGTCACAGCCCCTGCCAGTTGTATCTGCTTGTGTCGTTATGTTACTTAGAATGATGTGCAGTTAGCTGCTCCTTTGAAGTCAAAACGGCTTCCTCGATCTGAATCTGGATTTTATTCAACACTGAATTTAAAATTATAGAAGTATTGTGTTTGTCCTTCTCCCACCACACAAGTCTATATGCAAAGTTTTGATTTTTTCATTCAGTGTCACTCCAGCTATTCAGCAACAGACCTTGAATGCACACTTTAACCCTGTTTCTATACCCTCACCTCAGACAATACATCTCTTATTCTGCTTGATCAGGAGTCCAGACACAACATGCTTGCAAATGCAAAAACCACTTGATATTTAGATTAAGGATTACGACTTACTTGTCTCATTGCTCCTCCTGGAATTCAATGGAGTTTCCCGTCATCCATAGGCATGTGAAATCCTGCTTTGGCGTAAAGCGATGAGGTCGCCTCTGACTGTGTTCAGAGGTTTTGCTTGAATGCTCCTTGACCTCAGACTGTCTGGAGGCTCTTTGCGCGCTAAGCCATGCTTATTTGTAAACAGAAAGCTCTGCTCGAGTTCTCCACACTCCTCCTGCCGCTGAAAAAGGCACCTTTGTAAAAAAGAGACCATTCTCACTTTGCTCTCTATACTTTATATTTGTATTAGAGGCCTTCATTTGCTTTGGATTGGGAAAACGGGACTATGTTTTTGCATAAAGAATGCATTAATCAGTAAATTAAGCAGTGAGAATAATGAGTGAATGACTGGAAGGTAAAGCTCAGTCTTTGTTGTTGTAAATACTGCCCAGACCACCAACCTCACTGACAATACATCTTTCTGAATGCTGCATGGAATCAAACAAGATTATAAACCAAAACTGGCACAAGCCCTGAAACACTTGGCTGTCGCTAACTTTCTCACATTTCTCCCTTTTGCCAGCCCGTTAACTTTCCGAGCTACCTCCTCAGGAAAACATGTTCATTAAATTCCCAGCAGCAGTCCCTACGTGGGCTTCACCCTGTCATTGACGGATGCATGAATGACTCAATATGCGTCTGGATTTGGAACCTGCCAGGGCTTAAGAAAGAGCCCCGGAGACAATAGCAACAGAGGCAAAGCTGCAGAGCCTTCAGTCCAAACAAAATCTCATTGTTCCTGTCTTCCACAGTTAGGGGGGTTAGGCCTTTCCTCGCCCACCATCATCCCCCCCAAACACCAAAAGACTCCCAGAACCTCGATCCGCCGTCCTACCTCAGTCTCTGTGTTTCACCAGCTCTGAGTGCTGTTAGTGGGGTCGGTAATTAAACAGGGCTGCCTCTCAGTTTCTGCAGCTCCATGGGGGGAGTCCCTTCATGAAATGCACTCCTCAGGCTGAGTCCAGACGGCAGCTGATGAGGGATTATCTGCTGGCAGAGGCATGGCATACTCCCCACGATAATCTTCAATTAGTTCAGTTCGGGCTGATGTGTTGGGAGGACCTGCCTTTACCTTTCCCACATCTTCTACATACACACAGCAACATCACAGGTCTTCTTTGGAACAGAAAATTAGCTCCAAACACCATTGCTCGGGTGTATAACCGAACCCACGCTCAAGAATTGTTGCTCAAAAACTTAAAGCTCCAGTAAGGAGTTTTTTGAATTCATATTGATGCTTTTTTATGATATATAAAAGCAAACATTACCATTAGCGGGAAGATAGGTTGTCTAAATATTTTAATTTATAATGCCCCAAAACTAGGGTGAGGGGATAGGAGTCAGCAATTAACAATTTCCATTTAAAATATAAACATTAAATAAAAACGCTGACAGTCGAGACTCAGCAGGATGAGATTTCACTGCTTTGTTCACAGTGGTTGCCAAAACTGACTCAAAAATGTTCCTCACAGGAGCTTTAAGCTCAGCGATTTAGCATCAGAAGTCATGATGACTGTACAGTCCAACAGAAAAATGTCTCATGGCAGCTATCAACCACCTCATGCGTTAAAGTGTTAAAGGAGACCCAACATGCTGATCTATACTGGAGTACATGTATGTTATGTTACAATGTTGGATGCCCCCTGATAAACCTTGGTAAAGTTTAATTTCAATTTTCAATTTCAATTTCAACACTTTATTTCGGACCCAGAGGTGGTCCATGGAACAATAAATAAAGACAAACACCCCATTGGGCAACAACAGGCCCGAGCTGTGTCCACCGCCACCTCTGTGGACCGCCTCCCCCTTTTGTTCTTCTTGGGGTCCAACATAAGTATTATTGATTCTATAGGTTTGGGTCACACACAGAAGAGAGGCTTTCATTTTGAAGTTTTGTAGGAGGCGCTATGGAGCCATTTTTGGTTGGATTTCCACTTTGACATTGGAGCCCTTTTTGTTCATCTTGGTAAAAAAAAAAAAAAAAAAAAAAAAAAAACACGTGCACATATACACAGACACAATAAAAACAAGTATTCCAAATACCACGTATTTACATACATGCTAGAACGCCAATGCCTCCAGAGCCTTGAGGTGAACCTAACGGTACTCAGGGCAGGATTTGCCAGCGCAGAAATGATGCTGTTTGGTGATTTGAATATTCTACACATACAGCTGAACATGAGGTTCATGAGTTCAACAACATGAGGTTGGAGAAATACCTTCCAGGTTCTCCAAATAGCTTGTTACAATTATTCTAATAACTTTGTGGGACTTGTTGTGACAGAATATCCGGCTTTGCTGTCAAGTTAAGACAATGAGAAAGGACAAGCCTAACCAACGGCTCTGCCAAAGAAACGCCCACTTGGAAACCATAGAGTCCATTTCAAAGCTAGTCATCATCCATTTTTCTTCTCCAAAAGATGAAGGCAATAGAAAACAGTGGGGAAACCCAACAAAGTTATTTCTGCTTCCTTCTTTGATCACAAAGACCAGAACAAGCTGGATTTCTGTCACAACTGTTCCTAAAACCTGGAGCTGTTCAATCGAGTGTGGAACCACAAGCTGTCACCAACACAACACTAGCTAACATGTAATGGGGAGCTAGCGTGGACGTTTGCAGCTAGCCTTTAACATTTACAACTTTTGGGTCATTTAATGAATACAAACAAGCCTGTGTGAAAAGTAATAACCACAAGCTGTGTCTTACTTTTAAATTAATAAAGAGACGATAAAAAATGAAGGATTTATTTCTTTTTTCTCTGTCATTCACAATAAGCTGTTGTTGTCTGTGACATTTGCAAAACTTTGAATGCAAACTTCCAAGTGTTGTTGGTTTGTGATAGAAAGGAGGGTGCGTGTGACCTACATGAGAAACAGAGAGGAAATGACTTAAAAGAGAACACTTGCTAGAATATCTATTTAAGACGAAAAGAGAAGAGCAGATGGAAAAGCCATAAAGCCGGTCAACTTTTCTCAGCTAATGTGGTTCACATTACTTTGCAGCAGCTACTTAAAACTCTCCAAGGTAAAAACTCCGAACAGAAATGATTTACAGTCATCATCAGATGTTCCTCTATGTGTTGGCTCATTTACAGTTTGAACAACTGAGGATTCAGAGGGTGTGTATCAGGTTACAGAAAAAGAAAACCTCCTAATTACTTTTGTTGAAAGATTTTTCTGAACGCTCAAGTTGAAGTTTTTCAGCCATTCCATGAAATACACTTCTTGTGTAAATATATGAACACAGAGCAGCGCTTATAGCTGTTTAAGTACATTATTAATACGATTTAAACTGACATGTAATGAATCCAGGTCAGCAGATATATATTTTTGGATATAAACACAAGCACAGGACTATTTCCTTTTAAAAATGAATATTGATATGTTCCTGTCTATAAAGCCAACATCTTCAAAACTTTTCCATCTGAATAATTTATCTTTCACCAAGTCTCTCAAGTTTTAGGGACTTGAATGTTAAATAGAAACTGTTTCTGTATTAAATGATCTGCAGTGTTTGGAGAGGAACACAATATTTTGTTGAACCAGTTCTCACTGCTTTTACATTTCACTAGCGTATGTTGGAAAGTATTGGCTCTGAAACTGTGTGTCAATCACAGTGGTCCACTATCAACAGACCATTAAACTGTGAGGAAATCTCTGGTCTTGAGGTGCATTAAGATAATATGTTGGAGATTTATGACTCACCCCCGTCAGTGTGAAGTTCACTTGATCCACTCATTGAACAGCACAAGGATTAATTTGTCAAGGAGATTGTGATATGAACCTGTTAGCACCTTCTCCTCCTGCTCATTGGAGAAGGAACCAAATCTTGAAAAAATAACCAAGGACAAAGTGATTTTGAAGGTTAAAAGACCTGTGAACCACATGTGAAAAATGAATGATTGCTGGGGTGTTGTAGGCCAATTGGTTCATGCATGCCTTGCCTTCCTCAAAGCAGCGGTGGCTGGTACAACTCCTGGCCATGGCCATTTGCTGAAT